TTTGACAATTTGATCCCAAAATGTCTATTATTCTATTGCATCCTATAACAACCATCTTCTTAGTGGTTTAAGTTTAGTTTTGTATTTCATCTGCTTCTTTCTGTGTTCTTAGATCAGTGTCTTGGACCGAAAACTGAAATTCAGTTAATGTGATGAATTCAGTTAATTCAACAAATATACAAACATTCATTTTATAAAACAAGAAATGAAAACAGGAAGGTAGTTTATATATTTTGCACATTTTTGTTTACAAAAACTGTGTGGAATTTCCTTTATATTGGGCAACTGATCAACCAGATTGACACAGCAAGCTTCATAATTTAACTACACAGAAAATGAAATTTAAATCTGATCTAAACTTCGAGTCTATTCTTTGCTTTTCTTCAATTTATTTATGCCCCTTGTTTGATATCTCATTTCCATTTCATTTAATATCCACTTGTAGCAGGATCAAAATGATTAACTCTCCTCTTTACATCAAAGTTTCCTTGCACCGCAAAATGCACAAACTGATGTTTAATATAAGTGGCATGGCAAGATACCAAGGAAATTCGGTTGTCCCACGTATTTCCTACTAATAAACTACAAAAGCTTTGAACAGTAGGCCACCACTTGTGCGGTTTTGGTTGGGTTTTTTTTTTATGAAGTGTGAAGCTTAATGTCAATTAGCAGCACCATAAATTGAATTCATTTTCCTTCTGAACATAATACAGGTCACAAATCACCTCAGATAATTCTCAAAGCTGACAAACTTTAGCAGACACTTTCTTGAGGAAAAAACAGATGTTTTCCTTTTTTAAAAAAGTTTTTTTTAAACATTCATATCATGCTATTAAGTATGTGAACAGTAACAATATATACAAAATTGATAAAGAAAGTGGAAAATACCTTTCTAATGAAAAGAATATTATGCAATTTATAAGATAATGCAGTGCTTCTTAATCTTAGCAGCTTGAAGAGGCATGGACTTCAAGTCCCAGAACTCCCCAGTCAGCCTTGAAGTCCATGTCTTCAAGTTGCCACGGTTGAGAAACACAGATATGATTTTTAAAGCCCCATATATGTTTCTAGCTAGCATTATTTCTTCCACCTTCTCCTTAAACTCTTGCCTCGGGCTTTTTTGCCCTCAAACACTGGCCTGGCTGTCACCATCTGCATTTCCTCCTCTGCACTGGCACTGCTACTCTCTGCTTCACTTTGTGCAGATGCAACTTCTAGAGTTGTTTTGTGACTTGCCACTTTTGTTTCGAGCCTCTTTGTATCCTCCCCTCTTCTGTGCTTTCTGGAAGCTTCCTTCTCCAAATCATCAGCTGAAGACTCGCTGGATGCCTCCGAGAGCAGAACCTCTCCAATGAAGCCACCACACAGAAAGCTCTGTTGCTCAGATGGTGGACATTTTTTCCGTTTGCTTCCTCGTCTCTGGCATCCAGCCCTTCCTTTATTGAATGCTTGCCCTTTCCTCTGTTTCAATTCTTCTTCTAGGACAGCAGTTGCCTCCTGGACTTCACTGTCTTCTTCTTCCTTCTCTTTTCTCCTCATGCAAGTCACAGCTCGGCGAAGCCTCTGACTCTTGATGGCTTGTTTTTCATGTTGTGCCAGTCTGAAGAATGAGTCAATACGCAGCTGAGTCTACAAAAGAAAGAAAAGTACCCCTGTGAGATTCAGTAAGAGTTACCGATAATACTACCTGCAGCAAAGAAAACACGCAACAAAATTCACATCCTTGACAAGAGAATATTTGTTCAGATCTCCAGCTGGTCTTGCCTAGTCCCGATACATTTAAGATAGAGTAGGTAGGGAATATCTGGCCCTCCAGCTTATGCTGAACTAGAATTCTCAGTACCTCATCTAGCACTGACAATGGTGAGAAATATTAGGAAATTAATTTCCACTTGGATTGTCAGACATTCTCTACCACCTCAAAGTGCTTTATGGAGGTCAAGCAGGCCAATTCACCCGAAGTTTACATTTGGCTTCCATTAGGGTTGCCCCAATTTTCTAATATCCCACTCTAGTCTTTTAGTAGCCCTATTGTTGGTACAGAGGGATTCAATTGAAATGAATTACAGATTCATGTCCTGTAGATGTTTTGGCTCCACTACAAGCTGCAATGGGCAGTTGCTCTGAGAGGTACCTACACAACTTTCCCAGAGCTTGATACCAGACTGCTTTCATAGGTGGATAGCAACCTATTTAGATAACTTTTAATAAGCATCCATTTCGTACAAGCTGTTGTTGTTTGTACTGCTATTATGTCACTAAAATATTAACTCTTGATGGCTTCATGTTTACTTTATGCTTCCTGTCAGAATTTACTTGGAAAACTTATGAATTATAAATTATTAGAAAAAAGCATGCAGCAACAACCAGCAACTTATACAATTGCTAAGACTGCTATATTTTTATGCTTTTTCTACAGATATATTTGCCTAAATTTGACTCTAACCAAGTCTTGGATATAGAAAATCAGACTCCCTTCATCCACAACCTTTTTTGCAATTTCTAATCAGCTACTACATGACTAAGTCTGGTATTTTGACAATGAACCCTACATCTAATCAATTCGAAATGTTGGGATTACAAACACTGTGCATTCAAAACATGACTTTGCCATTTCCTGTGGTTGCTTTTAATCTCTGAACGAAAGGGAATATTTTTGGGAAAGTAATCTGCTTTATTCCAGGACACTGACCCATGAAAGCAAGTGGCCTAGATATCTCCGAGACCGCCTTCTGCCGCAGATTCCCTCCCACAGGCCGGTACGCTCCCACAGAGCGGGCCTCCTCAGGGTGCCGTTGGCCAAGCAATGTCGGCTGGCGACCCCCAGGGGGAGGGCCTTCTCTGTGGGTGCCCCCACCCTCTGGAACGAACTACCCCCCGAGATCCGGACGATTCCGGATCTCTTAACCTTCC